GTATGGGATTGGTTTCGCATACATACCGACATATGTATGTATGAGTACTTTACCCCAAATGTTTGAAAAGATATGCAGTATAAAACTTTCAGTCAGTATGGGATGTACTACGCCTCTTTTCCAAAACGTCAATTTTTCTCTGTGAGTATGAATTTGATTTCACATACATAACTCCATACCAAGTTCCAGATCTCTCCCGCAAATACTTACAGAGATATGTATGTATGTATTATGAAAATTCCAATTTGTATGGGAGGCCTTGAATTATCGGAATTACTTTCAGTCTAACAGCATCCTCGTAAAATCCGTAGTAAACAGGTGGCAACTCTTAAAAAAGTTGCCTATTTTCCAATCTAGGTCATAAACTATCTGCGTGAAAAATTTAATGGAAATCCGTTTAGTCGTTTCCGCGTATTAGTTTAATTAAACTTTTTTAGTAGAAGGGCAAGTCTTACAAAAAGTAGCCTATTTGCAAATCTGGGCCATAAGTACGGTTAACCAATGTAAAATAAAGGAAATTTTTTTTTCAAAATTATTTGGGAATACGTACATACAATTTGTATGATAAACGTACCTTAACCATATCGTAACTTAAATCAAATATTTACCAGTTAATTAACCGATTCCGAAAAATGAAGCCAAATCCCTTTCAAGGACTTCGCCATCCTTTGCTGCCAAAATGCATTTACCATAATTCATACTGCACGCCGAAGTCAGCACACAGTGGTTCAAAATTGGAATTTAATGTTCATAATTCACCGCAGTCTTCATTTTTCAACCAATTTTTACTAAAACCCAAAAAAAAATTTATTTTTGTGAACCTTTTTTTGTAACATTTCAAACACTTTTTTGTAATTTTTTCGTTTTGAGGAACTATACAATTGTTTTTAACTAGTCGTTGTTATGTCATATTTATTAACTGGAACAGGATAATACCTTTTCTTCAAAATTGCCACTTTTTCTGCATTTTGCACTAAAAAAATTAATATAATCAAATAAAAATTCACAAATTAGGCTCAACTGGTCTCTTGCAAATATTATAAGCTTTAATAAAAAAAATTTTCAAATTAAGTGAAAAAAATTAAGGCTCCAGTGAATTACGAACACTAAATGCCAGTTTAGAACTACTGTGCAGCAGGGGGTTTATTATTATCTTTCAGTGGAACTGGAAACTCAGCGTGTAACACGATCCTGGGCACAACTTTCCCTGTGCTTTATAGGTTGTGCAAAGATTACCTATTAAATAAAAACCCTTAAGTGGGGTGCGAAACAAACCTGCGAAGGTTTTCATTATATTTTATAAGGAATATTTTTATTTTTCATATTCTGTGTTTAAAAATTTTCCTCTGAAAAAATGCAGAGCTGATTTAAAGGACAGTTTAAGAAATAAAGGACAAAAGGCGTCCTTTATTTTGAAAAAAATTATAAAGGACACGGGGTTAAAATAAAGGACTGTCCTTTAAAATAAAGGACGGATGGTCACCGTAGCCATAAGCTATCTGTGTACAAAATTCCATGCGAATCCGTTCTGTAGTTTCTGCGTGATGCTTTCCCTAACATACAAACTTTCACATTTATAATATTAGTAGGGTGCGGAAACGACTGAACAGATTTGCATGAAACCCTACTAATATTTTAAAAAGTTGCGTTTGTTTGTTCATTTCCAGTAAAATCTAGTAAAAGTTTTTACGAATTTTCATGTTTTGGCGTTTTCGTACGCAAAAACTTTCAAAGTAGGGGAAATTGGTAGAGCGAAAAGTGACAGTTGAAGTTGCAAGTTTTTACTGGATCATGGTACAATAATTACAGGTATTGTCTCCCCAGAGAGTTTTGCTTCACATCGAACTAGTCCGATAGGAACTAGATCCCCACCAGTACAAAATCGGCGAAAATGGTACTTTTAAAAAACTAATTTTTTCAGTTTTTATCACTAGAAATCTATATCTAAAGTGACGAATTTAGAACTGGTTCCGAGCTATAGAAAAAGGTATGCAGAACGAACTAGATCTTATATGTCGAATTTTGAACTAGTTCGGAACTATCGAATAAGGAATGCAGCGGGGGGCTAGTTTACTTTACATAGATATGTGTTCGGCGGCATTTTCGTTCAAATACGCTTCTATTCTGTGCTTCGCATATGCTTTTTCATAGCTTGGTAATACAAAACTAAAATTTGTGTTAACATTTCAACATCTTGGGACCGTCTGGAATCTAAGAAAGAGCAGCGAGCCCCTCTGCAAACTCAGCTACAGCTAAAGGTATGTAACGTACATTTCTTACAATCATTCAAATTTAATTTCAAATTGAAAACACATTTCATCCAAAATTACTTAAAATCGCACGCACGGAAGAACCAACAAGATTGAAAAATCATGATACTTTTTTCTTTCGTCTGTCGATTTTAGAACTGGTTCGGAACTATAGAATTTAGGACTAGTTCAGAACTATCGAAATAC